GAAAAAAAAGGGAAATCCCAACCCCTACTCTAAAAATAAGTAGGGGATTTTTTTTTTTAAATAAAAGGAGAACTCTCATGATGTCATTCTAGTTTGCAGACAATTCAACAAAGACTTTTATTAGCGATTTCTAGTTTGAAACCCACAGTTTACAGGTTGAACAGGCCACAAATCAGGTATACACATTTTGTATACTCGCACATACTGTGTGTGAATGGCAGTGCCTTAAAATTACAAATGTACTACTGGGGGAATGAAAATGTTCAAAAAACACACCAAGAAATACTAGGAGACATCCCCTAAAATTAGCATGAATCGCGCATCCTGGAAAGAGACTGATATAGCACATACATGTATCTAATAAGGGACACAATGGCCAAACCTAAAAACAAAGTTAGGGCATCCAAAGGCATACATGTACATAACAAAGCAGGAGGAAAATAATATTTGACCAAAAATCAGCAATAGAAAACAGGAGATACTGTCACAATATAAACATAATAATATAACTCATCAAGGTACTTCCAGACAAAATTTCAAAGCCACCTTTACAGGTTAAAAAAACAACAAAAAAACAAATCCAAATCAACATTAACGGAAATAAAAGAGTTGTCAGTTACAACCCAAAAATACTGAACAAATCTTGGCGAAACCTAGTCCCAGGTACATACATGATCAATAGAGTATTTAATGTTATTAAAATTAATAAATTGAAGAAAGAAATTATTTAGAAAAGCTTAGTATGATAAAATCCAACCAAAACTGTTGAATCAGTTCGAAAGAATTTTGTAAAAGACCAGTGTTTTATCAAAAAGCTAATGAAACTGAATATAACAACCTTAATCCAGGGGTTTCCAAATTGGCTATCTACTTTTTGTCCCCGACTGCCTAAGTCCCACTGCAGCGCTTCACACTGCCGAGAGCCTTTTTATTTTTTTTGGCCTGTTGTTAGAGGATCATTGTTCTGAACGATTCCAATAATTGTTGCTTAATGTGAGCTTTGACCACTACTCATAAATAATGATTCTCTAGAAACCAGCTTTGTTGCATTTGAAGCAGAGGTGACATCAAATAACAAAGTATTCAGTTATTAATTCCGTAATTTCTGACAGTAATTAAAATACCAGTCTTAATCTTTTCACCACCAGACCTTCTCGCCCAAATTTTTCTGCTGTTTGTTCTTATATTCTTCAATATATATAGAAAGGAACCCTGATTTTAAAGCCAAAAACAAATTTCGGTTTTTAAAATTTGGCTATTTTTGTTCCAATCCTCCGACAGAAAGTGCAGACTATAAACGAGACTATTTTGTGAATTTGAGATGAGAAAACTGGTAGTGATAACATTAAGGTAGGATGCTACTTTTAGTACATATAGCAGTATTTTGTGTCAAAATCTGTCTGTACTTGATCATTTTAGTATTAGTCAACAGTGTATGAACCTTTTTGGTTCACTGTTAACTGTTTTTTGATAAAAAAAAAACGGTAAAATAATATGCATAAAATCCCATTTTAGCAGTGGTTTCTATAGACCACAACGGAAAAAAACCTACTAAAAATATTGTAAATTTTTTTTAATACTTGTAGACATCGAAAAGTACCTTGTAAGATGCTACACATTTTCGAACTTAAAGATATTGAGATAACTTTGTTCCATGGGAAACAAAGGTAAAATGCCCTAAAACAGACAAAACATTTCTAGTCCATTTTGTACATTTATTTTCTTCAGACTAAGTACAGTAACTGCACAATTTTATTCAATTTTTTTCATTTTCGTCACATCAAATATCAAATATTGTTACTTTTGTGTACTGTCTACCTTAATTGTGACCTAAGGGTTCAAAAGTGAGGAATGAATGACAACACAGTCAGTCTACAGTCTAGTGTTTTTCTGCCTGTACTCATTTTATACGTAAACATGTTTATATATCATCTGTCTGTCATATAAAAACATGTTCTCCAGTGACCTAATTAAGTTACTGGATTGTATACTGTTGTTCCTTTTGCATGTGTTTGTTTTGGAAATATGAACAACATTTTCTCTATTAGAACAAAGTCCCTCTAGAAGCATCATTTTGAGTATACCAAACTCATACTGAACCACTTATGCAGGACATTTGCGTAAGAACATAGGCTTCCAGTATAGACAGTGTTCACGTTTACATGGCTTGAATTTCACAGAGGCATCAAAGGCAATTGCTTCAAGGCTCTTACAGAGTTTCTCCTGTGTCTTTAAAAAAAAATATTTTTCCTGATATTATTACCATACACAATACAATTTTATCAATTTTTGCCTTGAAATTGAGTGACCCATCAAATCTGAAGTTCAAGTCCTGTATTTTTGTTTGGAAGACGAGGAGATAACACTTAGAATACATTTGTTTTGATCAGATGCATTTTAGCACATCAAGGCACAGTCCTTCAACACCCAGCTAGGAAACGCTATTGTTCTAAGGTGTGAATTGCCCGAGTCCCGAGTACAGTGCGTGTTTCACTTGTGAGGAGTAAGTGATGACGTCGTAGCTCGTTCGAAGCACATCCGTTCAGTGTACAAATATTGCGTGTTTTTGAGCACAGTCCGTAAATTTTATTTAAAGTTGCAAGCCTCCGTACCATCCTATCGGTTTTGTGAAAAGGAATGTGTGGTTTAAAATCTATATTCTTTATGAATAGCGAAAAAAAGATTTTGATATCAAACTGTAGCTGCCATGTTCGTTCATTGTTAAACTTTGTGTTATGGAAACGTTACCACGAAAGTTTCAAACCTGTTAAATCGCGTTATCACGTCCAAAACATTCACAGTCGTTATTAATTTGTAATTTGATACTTTAATTTTTGGATAATATTTTTTACTTTGTGCATAAGTGCCGGGAAGGTGTTCATTTCAGTCGTTCATCTTGCATGTGATTTTGTCTTAGGTTTTGTGTATGAAACAAGATGGCTGTTTGGTGTCGCTAACAGAAAATGTTGTTCCGCGAGGAATAGGAACTAAAACTTAAAAGATGGAATTATTTGTAGCTTTTAGATAACCAAAAACGATTTTATGTTGTTGAGGACCCATTCTTATCATATAAAGTAACATAATCAGCATTCCCACCAAGTTTTTAAAGTGGGGGTTTCTATACCCTCTCATTTATAAAATAAGGGTACACAGAAACAAGCAAGGGTTAATTATGGACTGCATTTGGTAAATTTACTTTATTATTCCAAATGATTTTTAAAATTGAGGGGTTTCCTGCACCCTTTCATTTGTAATATGAGGGTGCAAAATCAAAGTTGCAGGTAAAATACCCTCTGCAGGAGGTAAATGGGAACACTGATAATGTCATGTTACTCTGAGCATGTTCGCAGCAAAACTTTCGTTTTCAAGATGGCGACATCCACTATTATTGCCGTTATGCTGAGAGTATCCGATTGTATCGACCCTCATATATGCACGTTTTGACTTAAACTACCAATATTACCAAAAAGTAAATACTATTTGGAGGTTAGATATCACAAAAAATGGATAACATTATTTCCATTGCCGTTTTCTTATTTTTTCATTCGTTTTTTCCAGTTAAAGATTCATTCTTGTTTGTGGCCAGATTTCAAACGGACGCCATACACTTATCAGGATGCCATACAAGTTAAATAGATGGGAACGTCCTAAAAGATATAATGTCGTCCCAATCAATTTCACTGTCGCTGAAATCAACGAAATCGTCCCGATCGTGTTTTCCCCGCATTTCGTTATAATAAAATACTTGAAAGAAAGTTGTAACTTATCAGTAGTGAACAGGAAAGTAAAGTTGTGTGCGTAATAACTGCAGAAACTGAGACAATTAGTCGTGAGACATGCTTCTTATTGGAATATACCTCAACCATCTTAATACTTGGGTATTCATTTTTTGTACAATCAAACACATTCAGAATAGTGTTGCTAGTCAGACAACGTGTGATGGTCGTCATATTATTTTCTGTTTGTCATGACTTACTAAATGATATAAAAGATTACAGACTTTTTCTTGCAGTATATTTCATCCAAGGCGTATATATTAAAATATTCAAAGCTCACTTTGGTCAACAACATATACCATGTCAGATTTGAGATGAATTGCTGTCATGCTATTGGTCAAAATATTGTTTAAATGACAAGTGTTGAAACTATGTAGAAAAGTGAATTACCATGAACCGGTAATTTTTGTAATTTGATCATTTGAAAAAAGTCACCCATGATGTTTTTAATGTTCAAATTGTGTTAATGTTCAAGGAACCACAAATTGTGCATCCACAGAAACAACTGGTACGGGTAAACATTACCATACCATTAAGAAAAAAAATTTACTTTATATTTAACTTAGTCAAACATATAGCACATCACTTCCCTATTTGAGAAATACCAAGTGTGCAAGCATAGATTTCCTTGCACATGTTCTCCGTTTTTGCATGTGTCTTACATGACTCAACCATAGGGAAAGTGGGTCAGCTGTAGAGGTACTATAATAGGAGTGCAAATACTGGTGACAATGTCAATTTTCATGTGATCATGTTTTCCTCAATATTCAGCACTACACCATCACAAATATCTGCACTCTGTATGTAATAATAACGATTTTCTTTATATTTCCAGTTAAATATATAGAATGGTAAATCTTCAGTTAGAATCGCAGTTTTGAGTTTGCATGATTACAGCTACTATAACTGCTCTGCCACGAAACTAATATAATATAATGCAAATAGTATACAGAAATATCATCTGAACCATGGCCAAATTATTCACATTGGATTCATAGACCGAAAATAAGAAACCCAATCGTGAGTGCCTGTTGATATTACCACAGTGTAGTGTGTTGTCAAGATATATTATTCGGGCATTCAGCAGTGTGTAGCCTTAATTGAATTTATTTACAACGTGGAGGTCGGTTGTTGGATTCATACCCACCTCTGTATTCACTATAATCATTAATTATAACAGATACAGATAAAACAGTTAAAATCTTATACACTTAATTTACTTACGGTCAGCCCATCGTCTATGACGAGAGGTATTTGCCTCCCTTGGAAGGGGAACTTCTCTTCCCTTTGACAAACAGCAACTAACTTAGCCATGCCCACAAAGAGCTGCAAACCGAGATTTCGGGTAAAGTGACGGATTATTATACAACAGGAAATAACCAACGAGTGGCGGCACTTATAACTTCCACGTTTCCGTGGAAATGTTACGTTAATACTTCTATTATTCCACGTCGGCTCGCGCCTAGACTTGAACTCACAGGATATGACCGAAGCACATACTTAATTTGTATTATGACTGCGTCATATATTAAAAATAGTCCCGGAAAAAAATTCAGATTGGCCCCTGTACGTGAACTTTTTGTGATATTATTGTAATCTGTGCGGTACAAGTATTGAAATCTACCTTTAGCAACTTTTACTTTTATCATACAAATGAAATTCGCTTGTAGCGGATCAATCCCCAATATTTTTATTATGAAAGTTTGCCACCAAGATGGCGGATGCTCTGTTTGCCTACGTCACTGAAACGCATGTTTGTTTCTTACTTAGTTACTCAAAGAGTTATTGCACTTTTAGCAAGAGGCTTGAGAGGTATACAGACAAATTTTAACATTGCGCAATTTCTTTGTGAGGAATATTAAAATATGGAAAGTGATTGCATTGAATATTTGTATTTGTAATCAGAATTGACCTTTTAGTTCACCCATATTTTATCAAAGTCTCCAATTAACATGCCCTGAGGAACATCTCTGAAACTCCCAGACAGATTAACTGTTTAACAAATACTGTCCACTCTGAATTGTCTTTGCAACTGTTGCATTTGTATTTTTCAACAAAATTTGAAATCATGCAGGTGGCTGAAAGTAAAAAAAAACAATTGCAAGTTTAAATCGCTATGCATACAACACATCTAAAATATGCTGCATGGCAACTGTAGCTCTTTTAAGGTAGTTCACTACCATTAAATGGAAATCCTCAAAATCCAGGAGGGGGGGGGGTATTGTGATGTTCAAAATTCGGCAATAAAATCATAGTGTCACTAAACTAAGTTTTTCACAAAACAACCTTCAAAGATTGATCAAATCGCATGTTTCAGGTAGTTTACGATTGGTTCCTATGGCAGAAATATTCCAGTATATCTCAAAATTTATTATGTGTTATGAGGGCTACATATGGCTGTCATGAAAAATTGGAGAATTTTGAATATTACTCATTTTCCATTACTTTACAATGGACTGTGTGACAATAAATCAGTGACAATAAATATGTCAGCTCAATTACCATGCAAATAAATACCAGATAAAATAAGGAATCTACAGTATTTTTATGTCACCATGAATTGTGCATTTCCTGGATTCCATAATGACTGATAAATATAGTTAGATCTAATAGATACGTAGAATATGACTGCAACACCATTTATTTTCACTGGCATGTATGTAATTTCACTATTTTAATGTTTTGAGCAAGATCACTGCGTTTTAAGTTCACAAACTTGGCATGGAAACAATGAGTTCTATTGGTATTCCACATCTTCCACATACCCAACCCAAAATACCTTTAGAAGACTGAATCTGTAAGCAATGTTCCCAGATCAAAATTGAAAATGAAGAACATTTCTTCATGGAATGTCTTAGGTACCAAACAGAAAGACAAAAGTTATTTAATAATATCAATATTCCAGAAGAAATGAAAAGTGATGACCATATATTTCAAGAGAAGACGTACTAATAAGACAAGTTGGTGAATACTTATACAAAATATTTGAAATGAGAAATAACAATAACTGACATTTTACTTTTACTTTAGTTTTATATATATTGTACTTTATTACAAACATGTTATTGCTATCAACCAATGGATGCAATAAATTCATTATTATTATTACTATATGGATTTCACTTTAGCAAATTTTACTCATGAGTGAAAATAGCAAATTTAAAAACCAGTGAATAAGTAATGTATTTACAGTATCAAATGACAGCGTTTATGGAGGATTCCATTTTGACTCAAGATGGCTGTTTTATTAGAAGAAACACTGATAAGTGGAATCCTAATCTATTCACACATGCCCGCCACACTCCTCCCAAGAAAGTGGAATGCGAGAGATAAACCAAACCCTACTGTCTGTAAAATATACTTGCCTGATCCCTAGGGCCACAGAAATAGTCAAAGGAAGGTTAAAAAAAACTCCTGTGTGCTGAGAGTATTGGAGACACATTACAAATTAATTAAAAATTACTTGTACTTGAGATATTAATGGAAAAGCTGAAAACTAATTATTATGCTAATCAGGTAATTAATATGCAGAAATTTGAGTGTAAAACTATAATAAGGTCTGCACAATGTGACAGACCATCTATGTACCAAGTTTCATTGAAATGTAATTATAACCAAACAATTATGAATTATTATGCTAATTAGGGAATTAATATGAATAGATTTTAACCCCAAACTAAACAGGTCTGTGCATTGTCCAAGATCATCTATATACCAAGTTTCATTAGAATGGAATAATTAGTACTTGAGATATCAGTGTGAAAGCTGGGAATTGGTAATTATGCAAATTAGGTGATTAATATGCACAAATAATGATCCAAAACTAACCAGGTTTCTGCATAGTCAGGTCTGTGCATTGTTCTCTGACATCTATGTACCAACTTTCACTGAAATGTGATAATTAATACTTGAGATATCAGTGGAAAAGCTGAAAATTGACTAATCATTATGTAAATTAGGTTATTAATATGTATGAATTTTTATTAAAAACTAATCAAATCTGTGCATTGGTCCAGAGCATCTATGCATCAAGCTTCATCAAAAACCAACATGTGGTTCTTGAGATATCAGTGGAACGGACAGACGGACAGACACACATACACATATATACGGACAGACTAACTGCAAAGACTCCCATTGTGTGCTTCACACACGAGTCAAAAATCAACATTCACTCTATGAGCTGATTGATAATTTTACAGTTACTAATATGGGCACTTAACATGATGCCGATGCTACAAAGATTTTATGCTAAATTGTCAAGTTATTTTCATTGACTACAACAGCTACCAAATATATACTGGCAATCTAACATAACAGAAACTCAGTATGACTATCAATCGTCCTATGACGGTAAAACTGTAGACTGCAACAAACAATATTTATATACAATTTGTTTATTTCAGATTTAAATTTGTTTTCCCCATTAAGCAATAATTCAATCACTAATCTGTAAAACGTTATATAAATACATGAATATACAATAATTATATACAAGTAAATGTTACTCAAAAATAATCTGTATAATATCAGACATGTATAAAATATATATTATTAAAGTACATATTACAAAATAACTTTATTTTTTGAAAAAATAGTGTACTCTCAGAATATTTTGGATAGATATGTTACATGTACTTACAATATTTAGTGAATTTTATATTCAAAGTTACAGTCTGAGATAATTCCTATAACAGTTTTATTGGTGTCCTGTGATCTATTTGATCTTCGGGAAATATTTGACGATTCTTCATTCTTTTGAAATCTGCTTTGTTTTGAATCCACATTCATTAAAAAAAACTGTTCAATGTTAATAAATGAAATTTCGAACACACAATTGAATGAGTAACTGAAATGATTACCAATGTTTGAAAATTCATTGAAAATTTAACGAATGTGAAAATTACCAATTAAATTATCAAACTAATTACCATAAAATATTTCATATAATACTGTGGAATACTTTATTTTCACTGGAATTGATCTTCGCTGAAAAGGCTTTTCGGGCATTTTGTATGGAATTTATTTTCACTGATTTTTGATGAGTTTAATGTAAAATATAGGAAAAAAAGTATATTCGCTGGATTTTATTTTCACGGAATCATCCCTTCAGCGAAAATAGCGAAAATAAATTCCAAGCGAAAATAAAGTATTCTACAGTAGTCCCAAAAACCGAATAGAGCTTAAAGAATGATCTCATTTGCTGGATTTAATTTTGAAAAGTCTTTTTTGGTGTTTTGTATGGAATTCATCTTAACTGATTTTTTGATGAGTTGCATGTAAAATATAGGAAAAAGGTATATTCACTGGATTTTATTTTCACTGAATCATTCCTTCAGTGAACTCTACTGTGAACCATTTTGTTTTCATCACTAATAATTTAAGAGATTGATAATTTGCGATTAATTTTATTAACGACGACAACATTTTGTGAAAGTCATCGTCTGTGACTCCCTTTCTTAAATGTTCACTGCAACAAAATGTTGTGAATTCCCCGACTCACAGAATTCATATCTCACAAAATTAAGTATTTGACAGTATCTGCAATCATAGACACGAGAAAGAACAAAGATCAGAATTTGCCTTGACACGTCGTCTATGTTGTAGAAATTCAATAGTTACCAATTTTAATTTAACAAAGCAACTAGCAACTAGGACCAACTATTCAAATTGCTTGTAGTCATGATAGTTGCTTTCAGGCTATGCCAAGTACTGGCTAATACTTTAAGCTAATTGTATATGAACAGTTAGCATGGCCTAAGATACTCTTAGCACTTCTCAACCTGTACTAAGCTTTCATGTACATTTTCTTAGCAATGGCTAAAATTGTTGACCTCTTAGACCATGCTAAGAAGCTGTGCGTACAGCACAACTAACGTATTGTCAAAATACAAATGCATTAATTCACACAAGAATGTTAACATTTCGATAATAGGCAATAAAATTACATAACATGTAAAATTCAATTTTAAAATGTACAAACTTCAGGAATAACATTCCATAGTTGTTGTTCTTTCTATAGCATCTATGCTGTAATCGAAATGTAGGATATATGAAGGGATGTGCACTTTCAGAACTGTTTACACATTAATTTCGTTATTTTCACTGATAATCCAATAAACTAAATTCAGGTGGACATGTAAAATTACAATGGAAATTTTCATTTCACTTCAAAAATACGTTGTGAATTTAAGTACACATGCTCAATATAACAGAGTACCCGGTAAAAATGAAACACCAGTGACAATTGTCACTGTTTGTGACTTAGTTACTGTAAAATATTTTATTTTAGCTGGAATTAATTTTTGGTGCTTTGTATAGAATTTATTTTCACTGATTTTTGACAACTTGAATGTAAAATATAAGAAAAAAGGTATATTTGCTGGATTTTATTTGCACTGAATCATTCCTTCAGCTAAAATTGATTCCAAGCGAAAAAAGAAGTATTCTACAGTATGCTGAAGTTAAAATACAATTATACAGAAAATAACTCCATCCATCAAAATACATTACTATATACAACCTTCCGTCTTATACCAATATTATATACATAATTATTTACATAAAGTATAGCTGCGCTATCCCAAAATTGATCCCATATATTGTCACAGGGTGATTATAATTGTGATTCAACGAAACGACACACAACACTATTTTGTTTCTATCATGAATTGTTTTTCAGTGTACTTTTTTGCATCTACATGGTTTACCTGCATAGAATTTCAGAAACGGACAAGCACATTAGGAATCTGGCATTCCAGCAGTGTAATAAACACAATCTACTTATGACAACCATATTTTCTTTATTAAAGCGCAGTGATCAATGTGCTGTGTTCTGTTCGATACAGGACTCAAAGCAATGTACATAACGCGTAAAAAATATATTGTTTATTTACATGAAATTCGAACATGTGCTGCACCACGACCACCGCCCTTCAAAGTTGCACTCTGGGATCACTCTTAAAGATTTATTGGGGTCATGTGTGACAGTCATGTATATGCTGGTCCGAATTTGTGTAAATTGACAGAAATGTTTTAATAAATGTGTAAATTTCAATTCTTTTAAGCAATTTCACAAAGATTTGCTACTGCAGGTTGCAGTTATTTGGAATACTGCTGAAATCAGGTGAATCAGTTATTTCTCCAAGTTCATGCCAAATCAGAACAACAAATATTTAATGTAATAGTCCTAAGAGACTGATATAGCTCTAGAAAATATCCCAGAATGCAATTTTGAAGATGAAAAAAAAAATGGCAAGCTTTTTTTTTTGTTTTTGTTGAGGCTAAATACAGAATTGCCAAAGTTTTTTAAAAATCAATACATGCCATTTTTGATAATAAATTTTAGATGCCAGTAAGGCCAGACTTTTTATATTCCTTGTTTCGCGAGTTTTTATTAGGCAATTTTTTTGAGGAGGGCGAAAAATATATAAAATTAATTCTTTTTTCCATTAGATTTGTGTGATTCTCAAAGAATTGTAAGTGAGATCATTGATCGGAGAGAAGAAATGAAATAAAATTTTATTCCATGTATAACCTTGTTTCTCATCTGCGCTAGACTTCAGTACTTTGATCATGATACTCCCACGAAAATGGAACTTGGATTTGTTATGCGGCGGGCGGTAAAAAAATGAAGATAAAAATAATATTTTTTTAGCATTTTTTCCGATTACAAGTCGGCGGGCGCGAGAAATTACGCTGAAATAAAATTATATTTTTATTTCATTTCGGCTCCTGTTTATTCGGCGGGTTCGCGAAACAAGGGATAATAAAAGTCTGGCCTAAGTTGTACATTTCTTAAGGATGTACGTACAATAGGGATAAAGGTATACAGAATAGAAATGGGGAATACAAAAATGGAATACAGATAAATATGTTACAATGTTTGCCATGGTAACTATGGTTTCAATAGGTAAGTGTGGTGTATCCTTCAATTGCTATTGATGCACATTTTTAAAAAACTGATGAAAAAGTAAACAGATTTCATTCATGTACACTTAAGAATGGACGATGCTCATATCTACACATACAATAACACTACCCGCCCAGATGATACCCAAATGGTTGCCATGGTTACGACGGAACACATATTATGTTTTTATGGAAAGTAATCTAATTTCATCCTGAAGTACTTTTGTAATATGCATGGCTGTCTCGGCCTCTTCACCACCAATTTGGTCTAAAGCTACTTCAGCTGCTTCACGAACATGAGATATTGTATCATTCCGCCTACAAAGACAAAAGTAGTTACATGAGTTGTACATCTGTAATGTCCATTGTTAGGTACTATATTTGTTTGACTTGATGAAATGTTTTGCTTCATTTTCTGTGATTTATTCAAATCGTTTCAACAGAATTACATTGCTAATCCCATTCATGTATTACTCATGCTGAATACCCCACAATTATTACTGGTATGCCTTCTTTACGCCCTTGTACTCAAGATCGAACCTACTGTTTTGTGCTTGGCAATGTTTCCTCAGCTATTTATCACATTTGATGAATTTTGACTTGATGAAATGTTTTTTTTTTTAAATATAGCAATAAATGAAATACAAAACTGTGAGTAATATAGCATATTTGAAAAAAAACAGGTAATCGCTCAGATTGAGGTGTAAAATATTGCCTATGGTGGAGACTGATTCTGCACCCTAAA